GTAACTTCACTGAAACTCAACAAGTCATCAGAGATGACCAGGGATGTGGCTTAGTGGTAGACTGTTGAGCATGCATGAATCCCTGGCTTCAATCCCATTACTGAAACAAAAAAATTTACCCAAGAGATCTAGGTTAAAATCTTTGTTCAAAGCTGCAAAACTTGTTTGGCATAGGAGACCCTAATCTTTTAGCGAGTGATATCCCTAAACTCTGGTTACTTTTGCTGATAGATTGACACAAATTGTAATTATTTCCACTTTTAATACAGTATCATTCCTTATTCAGTTACATTAGGGTGTTGGGTATATATCGTCAAAACTTTGTTAGAACTCCAAGCAAAATAATACGGTAAATGTTTAAATTTTAAGAAGCTATTTGCAGTAGGAGGAAAAAAAGTATTGCAGTAAAATATGTTGCCATTAATTCTCAGAATCGATTCTCACATCCAACACTGACCCCACCATTCTTGCCCATTCTTTTGTTCCGGGGACTGAACCTAGGGCCTTTCTATCAGGCTACATTCTTAGGCCTTTTGATTTTTTTATACTGTGGTTCTCACTAATTCACTTGTAAGGCTGAGGCTCAAACTTGTGATTCTCTTGCCCCAACACCATGACCTATTCTTATTTTCTTCTTTTAAGAAAACTAGTGTCTCCCTTTATTCAAGTTCCAACCCATCCCAAGTGTTGACAGCTGGAAACAGTTCCAAAAGTTTTATTTCAAAGTCAAAATGACCACGAGAGAAACATTTTGAAGACTCAGGACATCAGTATACCCACAACAGTGCATCTAAAGACAGACGATTTGTAGAATTGCTTCAGAAGGTGACAAGAATGATGGGCTAAGTGTGAAGGAGGAGTATTTGGAGAGAATTAATGGCAATTTGTCCTTTACTGTAAAAAAAAGTTTTAAATTAACATTCACCATACTTTGTACTTACACCTTATTTGGCCCTTCACTTTTAGTTCTTGGTCTCATTGTATAACTAGATCAAGCGAGGGCGGAACTTTCTTCACAGTAGACCTGTGATGGGAAAACTAGATATTTGGTTACCTTGTTGGATTGATTATTCCTATCAGGAATAATCTCTGGAGTCTGTGCCTCCTTTGTTTGAAAGACCAATCATCCAGGCTGAATTCTTGGTCACAGTACAAAATTCCACAAAAGGAATTTGGCCCAGCTGAGACAAGAACACTTATGACTGTAAGTGAAGAAAGGAAGGAATATGGTGTAAATAGAGCTGCCCTGCCTGTACTCAAGTAGTTTGGGAGATTTGGTACAATGTTCCAGGAAAAGAGTGCTGAAAAGGAAATCCAAAGGTGTTCTCTGTGATAACCTACCTCCTCCCAAATCTGTACCAGCTGTAAACAGCTATAATGTCTGTATGGCCATATTCTGTTTTTATAGCTATAACTGATTCTATTTGTAGTCTGGTAGCGTTCATGTCTCAATGGTCAGATAGTTTATTCTGCTTGCACAGCCCCCATGAAGCACACGTGGAGTTTTCCTATAAATGTTTAAAAGTGAAAACCAAAAGGTTTAGGATATGTACACGCTCAAGTTGATAAGGTTGTGAATGCTTTTGTCAGTGGACACGTGGGTCATTTTTGTTACCTCCATATTTTCTCCCCAAAATATGACTGGGTCTTTTATTAATTTTTGCTTCAAAAGCTGTAATAGGGCTTTTCAGGGGTGTCTTTTTTTTTTTCATGTACAACAGTTGACATTTATTCATGGACAAAAATCTACATTTATTCAGGTACAAATATCTACATTTATTGAAATAGTCACGTCATCTTCTGGAACATCGCCGTAACTCTCAAATCCCCAAATTCCAGCGTGAATTCTTGCGACTCCATTTCTTGTGGAACCATTGTTCCCAACCTCCTGTCTAGCAATAGGGCTGTCCTTAAATGAGCACTTCTTGTCCGTGCATCCTGGTCACAGTGCATTGTCATAACATGTGACATATTGAATTAGAAGATTAATACTAGACAAAACTACATCCATCAAATGTGCATGGTATTCGTGCGTTGTGTCTACTCCAACTGGTCGTTCGGCAAGAGGTCTCAAGTTCATCTGTTTACATAAAACCTTGTCCAAAGGCACCCGCTTGGATATTTACAAATAATAATGTATATTATTTAAAGTATTAATGTCGATATTATTTTAAATTTCAGTATGTCCATTGTGTGTTGCAACAGGCATACTAAATGTATCCATCTGGCTGACAGTCTCAGGGCTTATTTTTGTGGTAGGGCTTATATTTCACAGACCTGAAAAATCATGCTAGGGCTTATTTTCTGGTTAGATCTTATTTTCAGGCAAATATGGGACAAATATGTACAGTGCAGAAGTTGACCAGATGGCCAAGTGTTCCCTCTTGTGTAGTAGCCCGCCCTCGTATTGTAGGGTGCTCCACTTTTTCTACTTTTACTTGGACCAAGCTCGCAGAGCCTGTTTTCTTTTCCTACCTGTAATAAAACTTTCCTACAATTTAAAAAAAAGACCCAACTAAGGGCAACCATTGATTTTTTTCTTAGTTTTTTGAGATAGGGTCTTGCTATTAGTTCAGGCTGGCCTTGAACTTCAATATGTAGCCCAGGCTGGCCTCAAACGTGGCACTCCTGCCTCAGCCTCCTGAGTGCTGGGAATACAGGCCTGTGCCACCATGCCTGGCTAGCATCGATTTTTTTTTTTTAAAGTAAGGAAATAAAGCCATGCTTGAGATCCGGATAGTGGATGCATAAAAAGAAGGTCTCTCAATGGTTCATAGCCTGCTCATTTAAATGCCTTAAGCCCTAAGTCCCAAATCAGAGACAAGATTATCTACCAGTGTTCTCATTGCTAGACAGTTTATCCACACTGTAAAATTTATCACACATTTATAAAGTAGGTGGTGTCATCCCACAGGTACGTTTACTGAGGCATAGTAAGTTGCCTGCATTCGTGCTGCAGGTAAAACAGTACCTGAATTCAGACCAAGTACTCCATTCTCAAATACACTGACTTTTTTTTTTTTTTTTTTTTTTTTGGTACCGGGGATTGAATTTATGTCCCTGCACTTGCGAGGCAGGCGACAGTACCCTGAGCTAGCTTTAAGCTAGGAATGAGAACATTCGTGAATTAACTTCAAGCCAAAACGTCAGTGAGCTGCCTCCTGAATAGCTTTATCATTCACATGCAATTGCTGACTTTGATATGCAAATTTCATAAAACACTGAATTGTGAAGATTTGGGGGTCCTAAAGAGTAACTTTACTCAGCTTTTTCTTTTCCTCTTTTTCTTTTTCTTTCTTTTTTTTTTTTTCTTTTGATTTTTGAGATAGCGTCTCACTATGTAGTTGAGACTGACCTGGAACTCACTATGTAGCCCAGGTTGGTCTCCAACTCACAGCGATCCTCCTGCCTCAGCCTCCCGAGTGTTGGGATTACAGGCGTGGGCCGCCATACCCGGCCACTCAGCTACTTTTCTTTTGCATTGTACAGTTTATGTATCTCACTGGTACAGTTCCTTGTGCCTGGTATACTTGTGTTTATACCTGGCTAGGAAGTTTTAGAAAGGTAGTGCCGTGCTATTTTCATTATTGTGCTATTTTCCTTGACTCTAATTTTTGAAATACAGTGCTGTCCATGTAGTGGATATTCATTATTCCATAAATCAGTTATACTAACAGCTGGAAATAGGTAATCGCAGGGCACCCTCATACCTTGCAAAAGAGAGGAACCTCCAGAAAAGTCAGAGGAATAAAGCTTGAAGCAGCCATTTCCCACCAGTTGATGCCTCTGACCCGTTCTCCCATTTAAGGGCCAGGAAGAGAATGTCAAAGGCCTTTGTCAGGAAAAACTCTCTCCGACTGCCTTCTCTCGTGTATTAATTTTTGTCATTGTCTTGCTTCTGTGAGAGTCTAAGGAACTAATACTCCGTCTTCAGAGTTACTGATTGAGAATCTAATTGCTGAGAAATAACACAAACAGGCGAGGCTTAACTTGCTCTTTAAGTAATTATAGCAGCAAAAGAAATCTGGAAACAATCTATAAGAATGACAGACATGGTTCATCCGTTTTGAAGCATTATCCAGTAGTTACAGATTACAGACTAGCGACGTGAAAACAAAGGCGTGATGTGTTGGCACCAAAGTGGGGCCAGTTAGTACATTAGAGAGGGAGAGGATGTTGGAGCGGGCTGGGGAGAATCCTCTTTATTCAGCAAGCGTTTGTTAACTAGGCACCTGCTCTGCCCCCAGGGACTTGGGCAAGGGCTAGGGTGAGGGGAGCGAGTAAAAGCCCCACGGTGGACAGCGCAGGGCTGACCGGTGCTGTACTTCTCCGCAAAAAGCCCCCGTTACCCACGCTGTCTTGGTCTGAGCGCGCCCACGTCTTCCTGTGTACCTGGACGCGCGTGTCAACTGTGCTGCCACGTTCGCGTCTGGATGTCACCTCCTGCGTGCGGGGCGCGGCACCACCTCGGAGGGCAGCCCCCAGGCTCCAGGCCGACAGCC